AAAAAATAATTTTTTGTTTTGTATGGAACCAGAAAAAAAGCCCGTATAGCCAGGGCCACTCTTGTAATAAAAACAAAGCCAGGGGCATCATCCTACCAGATTTTAGGCTACACTACGAGGTCATAGTGATCAAAACAGCATGGTATTGGCACAAAAAATAGAGACATAGGCATTTGGAATTGAATAGAAAACCATGAAATGAAAATAACATCTTACAGCCACCTGCTCTTTGATAAACTAAGTGAAAACATATACTAGGGAAAAGATCCCCTATTCAATAAATGGTGCTGGGAGAACTGGTTAACCACATGTAAAAGACTGAACCTGAACCCGCACCTCTCACTACTTACAAAAATTGATTCAAGGCATGAAATAATAAAAATCCTCACAGAAAGTGTGGGGAAAACACTTGAAGATATTGGGGTGGGGAAGATTTCATGAAGAAGACTCCCATGACAATTGCAACAACAAAAATAAACAAATGGGGAGACTTAATTAAACTGAATAGCTTCTGTACAGCTAAGGAGATAACAACCAAAGCAAATAGACAACCTTCATAATGGGAAGAGATATTTGCATATTATGAATCAGACAAAAGCTTGATAACAAGGATCAGAGAACTCAAATTAATCCACATGAAAAAAGCCACAGATCCTGTATATCACTGGGCAAGAGAGAGGAACAGAACCTTCTCTAAAGAAGAAACATGAATGATTAACAAATATCTGAAAAAATGCTCATTGCCCCTAATCATCAGAGAAATGCAGATCAAAACTACCTGAGATATCACCTAACCCCAGTGAGAATGGCCCATATCACAAAATCTCAAAGCTGCAGATGCTGGTGTAGACTTTTACACTGCTGGTCAGACTGTAAACTAATACAACCTTTTTGGAAGGAAGTATGGGGACTCCTCAAAGAACTCGAATTAGACCTCCCATTTGATCCTGCAATCCCATTACTGGGCATTTACCCAGAAGGAAAAAAATCCTGTTATCATAAGGACATCTGCACTAGACTGTTTATCGCAATTCAATTTACAATCATCACCAAAATGTAGAAACAACCTAAATGCCCAGGAACCCAGAAATGGATTAACAAGTTGTGGTATATGTATACCATGGAATATTCTTCAGCCATGAAAAAAGATGGAGACATCTTACATCTTACACCTTACACCTTTTGTATTAACCTGGATGGAGGTGGAACACCTTCTTCTTAGTAAAGTATCACAAGAGTGGAGAAGCAAGAATCCAATATACTCAATTCTAATATGAAACCAGTAGAAGAGGTAATACGTGGTGGGAGGTAAGGGAATGTGGGAGGGGGAGGGGAGGACAGAGTGAGTTGGGGGGGGTCACGGTGTATGGCACACCTCTTGGGAGCAGGACTCAATTATAAGAGAGACTTTACCTAACAAATGCAATCAGTGTAACCTAATTCTTTGTACCCTCAATGAATCCCAAACAATAAAAAAAAGAAGGGCAGTGCCTGTGGCTCAAAGGAGTAGGGTGCCGGCCCCATATACCGGAGGTGGTGGGTTCAAACCCAGCCCTGGCCAAAAACTGCAAAAAAAAGAAAAAAAAGAAAATGTGGCATATATACACAATAAAATACTACTTGGCCTTAATAAAAGAAGGAAATCCTGCCACTTGGGACAATGCAGATGAACCTGGAGGATACTATGCTAAGTGGAATAAGCTTGACACAGAAGGACAAATACCACATGATCTCACTTATATGTGGAATCTAAAAAAATTAAATTTATAGAAGCACAGAATAAAGTGATGGTCACCGGGGCTGGGGCAAGAAGAGAGTTGGGGAGATGCTGGTTAAAGGTACAAAATTTCAGTTAGATAAGAAGAATAAGTTCAAGAAATCTGTTGTACAACACGGTGACTTTTTTTTTTTTTAAGACAGAGCCTCAAGCTGTTGCCCTGGGCAGAGTGCCATGGCATCACAGCTCACAGCGACCTCTAACTCCTGGGCTCTAGTGAGTCTCCTGCCTC